ATTTTTTTAAGCAAACTTTGCTTCCTTTTTCACTTGCATGAAAGTTGAGCACATGTCACGCTTTCTTAGACCACATTTCCATTCCTAACACTTGGGTTGGCACTCATTAAATAATGGCTTAGTACATGCAATGAAAAATGATATCAAGAGAAAATAGAGTTTTAATCAGAGGTAACTAGTCAAGAAGATTCTGCTTTCAGCTTTGTATAAATGCAATGAAGACACTTGGCCAAGTTCACTGGGGAGATAGCTCAGCAGCATAAGCACTTGCCTCATAAGCACAAGGTCCCACGTTTGATCCTCCAGTACCACAAAAAACAAAAACAAAAACAAAAAAAATCTGTACATCATTGCCTTGTTCCCCAGTCCATATGATCGATTTAAGACCTGAACTCTCTGAGTGGGAGTTCCAGCTTTAGTGGAACTTAGGAAATTAGACAAGTAAGCGTTATGGAAGTCAGGCCACGTCACAGTGCAGTAGTAGAGTAGGCTTGACGATGTGAGTGGGGCGTGCGGAGCACAGACGTCTGTTTCCATGGATCCCGCAGAGACTTCTTCTCACCATCGTCCCGTCTCTGCTCTGTTCTGTCTCCCCAGATAGCGATGCCCCTTTTGAGTAGATGTGAAGACCTTCTTATCACTTAAAACATTTTTATGATTTTTCTTTTTTATTTGTTTTAATCTTGAAATAAGATTATTTTGCTCCTTATTTGCAAAACAGCAGCTTCTGCTACCAGTTCCACATCACTACACTTCTTCTCTCTGTTAGTGAATAGTGATTTAAATGTGATTTTTAGCTCATCTAACCAAAAGTCTACATTGAGTACACACACGCTGCCTCATGGAGATATGAGGCCTGGTCCTTTCTCTTACGCCATGCGGTGTAGCAGGAGTCCTTTTAGCTCCACATTGTCATCATTAAAAGCATGTGGCTACTTGTAGGAAACGGTGATCATAATTATATTTACATATATATTTGTAGATGCATGTATCTCTTGCAAAGAGAAGTACTCAACATGACAACATGGTGGTTCAGAATCTGAGTCTGGAGCCAGACTCTGGATTCACATTCTAGCACTGACATTTCTTGAGCTATGTCTTTTTTTTTTCTTAGTTTTAGTTTTTATTTTGGGGGGCTCAGGACCCAACTTCCAGCTTGCTAGACAAGCATTCTATCATTGAGCTAAATCCCTAATCCCAAGCTGTGTGATTTGGAACAAGGTATTACGCCTTTTTGTTACTTTAAGTCTCTAACAACTCACTCCGTATGAGCCTGGCCCATGCTCCAGAACGTTAGTCTTTATTAGAGAGATGACTGTGTTGGGAACCGTTGCTCTGTTAGGACGGATGCGTCGGCTCTATGGAAAGTTTGTTTGCAGTGCTTAAGAATGTAGAACTTGAGCTCCGTAAAGCGAGGCCGGATAGGTAGCTAGGAGTTATTTATTGGTAGAGAGTGGACCAGAAACAAAGAGCAGGCAGCTGGAGACTGGCGAACCCTGGGGTAAGGTTTTTAAATGCGGTTTAGAGGAACAACTGCAGATTGCATGTTACTTGTACAGTTTTCTGAATGCAGCCAGTTTTATATTATTTGGCTGGTAATATGCCTTCATTAGCCACAGGATTTCTACTAATCTCTGAGGGAGACTGACTGGACAGTGCCCTTCCCGAGCTCACCTAGGAAGAATTCAAGCATTTCATTTGTGTGGAGTGTGCTAGTGACCTCTTGTGGCCAGTGTGCGGTATGGCAGTCCGTGTAACGGCAATTTTCAACAGCAACCTGTATTTTTTTTTTTTTTTAGAAGGGTATTAGAAATTGAACTGAAAACTTTGCACTTGCCAGGCAGGTGCTTATGTCACTGAGCCATCTCCCCGGCCCAAGCAAACTGCATTTTGAGAAAAGGTCTTTGGCTTACAGGGTGACTGGCATATCTTGCTGTTGACTTCGGGCTGGTACAGTTTCTGGTGACTTCGTCCCTGTGAGTCTCATCATGGCACTGGCTGCTTAATGTCATTCTACTGTCTTTGGCTGTTGTGTGAAAGGAGTAGGATGACTCAATAACTCTGTATTTTAGTTTTCCTGAGATTCTCCTGTGAAGCTTCAGTACTTTTTATCATTTCACATGGTAAAAAAATTTTTTTTGAGACCGGGTTTTGCAAGGTCCACAGGGATGTCGAACTCACTATATGGCCCAGGCTGGTCTTTTTTTTTTTGGTATTGGGAATTGAACTCATGACCTTGGCACTTGCCAGGCAAGTACTTGTTCCTCTGAGCTATATCCCTAGCCCCAGGCTGTCCTTTAACTGGTACCCATCCTCGTGCTTTAGCCTTCTGGGTGTTGGGATTATAGCCTTGCAGCACCGTGCCTGGTATATCATTTAATTTGTTAAAGCTGATTTGCGTAGGATTTTGGTAAGAGAATCAAAATGTCCCCTTACTTCCCTATCATAGCCAAGGCTCCTTCTTGACGCTGTTGAGCCTTTTTGTGTTTTCTTGTTGGTTTTCTAGTCTTTCTGGGGCTGCCCAGGAAGCAAAACCATCCTCTGTTCAAAGCTTCATCTGGCCACATTTGTAGGAATGATGCCAGGGATTTTCCTCCACAAGACTGCGGAGAGTGGTCTGTGCTGCTGCTCCTGTGATGGGAAATGAAGTCCAAAGAGTGTGGGTGCTGCGAGGCTGCTCCCCACTCCGGGGCCTGGCTTACTGTTGGATCATGGTTAGTCAGCCACTAGGTTGCCACCTTCTATTGGCTGGAACCAGTGCTAAGAAGAGGATGCTATAAAGGAACAGGATAATGTAAACATCAGAAAAGGAAGGAAGGGAGCGATAGTGGGGCCCTGTGTATTACCGCAGTGGGAGAGGATTTTCCTGAAGCTCTGTCTCTCCAGGTGTAGGAGGAGTGGGAGGTACATTCCAAAGAGATAACTGAGATGTTATAGGTTCCGAGCAATGGGCTCAAGCTGTTCTTTTGTCCCCTACATTAAGTTGGTTGCCTGGTTCTGTTAGTAGTTGTCCTACTTCTGAACATTTCATTTCCACTATTCCTTTTTGGTCTAAAGTTGTGTTAGTTCATGTTTCCATTACTGTAACAAATACCTGAGATAAAGAGAGAAAAGTTGGATTTGAGCTTAAGCTTTTGGTCCAGGGTTGCTTGGCCCGTTGTTCACAGTGGGAGAATAGATCACGGTGGGATCATGTGGCGGAGGATTCAGGGCAGATGCGAAGTGAGAAGAGAGATGGCAGGAGGGGGATGCGGTGCCATTAGTTACTTAAGGAATGTCTCCAGTGACTTAAGTTTTTTCTGCTGCATTTCACAGGCTGGGACTGAGTCTTTAGTACCTGGGTCTTTGGAGACTTCAACATCTAACATATAGCAGATGTCATTGCTTCTTCATTCATCAATCTTTTTTGTGTAATCATTATTACTTTTTAAAGTGGTCATTTAACCATATCCTAGTTTCAGGATTGTTGATCTAATCAGGATTATTGACTAGTTGATCTGAAATTCACATAACATAAGATCAAGCCTTTTAAAGTGTCCAGTTCAGGAGGCCGGGGAGATGGTTCAGTGGAATAAGCGCTTCCCTGGCAAGCGCAAGGGCCTGAGTTCAATCCCTGGTTCCGCCAAAAAAAAAAGGTGTTCAGTTCAGTAACCACAATGTTGAGCGAGTAACCACACGTCCCCTCTATGGCAGTTCCCTGTTCCTTACAGAATAAAGTAGCAACTCTGCGCACACAGCCGTCCGTGCCGTCTTGCCAACCAGTCTGTCATAAATACATTAGAAACATCCAGCTAGGCTGTTCTCCTCCTTCCTCTGCCCCTTCGAAGGCTCTAGTACAGGAAGTTTGAGCAGGGCTGGTTGTAGCGACTTCTTGTACATTCTTTGTCCATCCAAATATTTTTAAACTAAATTTGGAGGCCATGTTTCCCTGTAGTCATTTTTGTCTATAAAAAGTGTACACTTGAATTGCTCTGCCACCAATTTAGCATTTAACCCATACTATATTACATTACTGTGTTTTAACACGTTTTATTTTTTTTTAAAAAATCTCTTAATATTCATGTCTGTTTCAGAAAACCTATAAAGTACTCGTACCAGCTAGCTCTTGCTTTGTAATAAATCACCCTCAAACTCCATGACTTAGAATAATTTTTATTATTATAGCTCACATATCTGGAGAGCTGGGTTTGGGTGACCTTGCTCGAGCTCTCTGGGCTCTTTCAGATCCTCTGCCTCACCTGGGGATTGGCTGCAGCATTTAGAGGCACAGCTGTCTGGTGGGCCATGCCAGCCCTGCCCGGGGGTGTGCTGAGATGGCGATTGAGCTGGGCATGGTGGCTCATGACTGTAATCCCAGCACTTGGGAGGCTGTAAACAGGAGAATCACTATGAGTCCGATCTAGTAGTGAGACCCTGTAGACCCTGTCTTAAATACAGAAAAAATAGAGGCACAGCTCTGTCCCATGGCTCTCGTCTTTCTTCAGAGAGCAGCAGGCTTCCTGCCCCAGCCATGTCCTCTTCATGGTGATGGCAGAAGTTCAGAAGCAAGTGGAACCAGGCAAGGTCTCTTGAGGCCTAGGCTGAGGATTGACACACTGCACCTCTGGCTCCATCTTTTGGTGGAAGCAAACCACACGGCTGAGCTAACAGTCAAGGGGTCGGGACTGTAGGCTTTCTCATAATGGGAGGAAATACAAGTTCTCATGACAAGGGGCTGTAGAGGAAAGGATGAAGAAATAGGGTCTTTGGTGCAATTTACTACACACTCAAGGGAAGTTCTTTCTCTTTCCTTGTGTGGCCCAGCCCTGTGTTATGCAGTAGTCTCTTGGTATTTTGCAGTTTGACTTTTGTGGACTCACTGTTGCGTGGGTTTTCAAAAAATATTTTTTTTCAAAAACTACTAATCTGAGTTATTTATTGGAGATTTTTTGCTATATTGTGTGATTTTGCAGTACCATGCAGTATTGTATATGTATTTATATGCATAATATTTTTGGTTTTATTGATTTTTGCCTAAAATTTTTAAAATACATAATATATTAAAAATATTAGTTCTAACATTAAAGGAACATTAAATTGAAATAACAGTTTACAGTATGTATTTTTTAGCAGATGAATACATACTGTACCATACAGTATATGTAAATTGTTAAAATTATGTAGATTTGTGAATTTTATATAGTGATTAAGAACATTAGTTTTTTTTGTTTTTAAAAGAACATTAGTTTTTTAAAAATGTATTTTAGTACAGGGTCTACAGGGTCTCACTAGGTAGATCAGACCCGTAGTGATCCTCTTGTTTGCAGCCTCTCAAGTGCTGGGATTACAGGCACGTGCCACCACACCCAATCTCAATGGCCATCTCAGTGTACATGGACAGCATTCATTTTTACAAGTGTGGGAAAAGTTTATAAGAGAGTGTGGGAAGGGTTTATAAAGCCTTAAAAATACACACACACATACACACATATACTAAAGTATAACATTGCTGATTTTCACTTATTGCAGGGGTGCCTGGAACATAATAGCTTAAAGTATCATCCATATTATTCACTTATGATTCCATGGCCCAGCCAGGCAGGGCTCAGCTGGGATGGCTTATCTCTGCCTTGTGTGATACTACCTGGGCCTGGTCCTGTAGAATTCATATGGCTGTCCCTGTCACCTGGACTGCTAGAGCACTGGAGCGTCCCTCTTCATGGTCCTTCAATTTCAAAGGTCCCCTCTCTGTACAGTCTGCCAGATTAGCTGTCACTTCACAGCGGGCACAGGGTTTCAGGAGCATGAACACAAGGCCTCTAGAAGCAGACTCAGAAGCTGCGTGCCAGTTCTTTTGCACTGTGCGGGTGAGAGTGAATCACAGGGCTGGCTGAGATTCAATGAGAAATACATCAGACTGTTGATGAGAGATGTGACAAGTTGCATTGCAAAAAGGCCCCTGAGATATGAGGGATGGTTGCATCTGTCTCTGGAAAGACAATGTCAGGACAGTCAGATCAGATGTTACTGAATACTTTTTGAATGAAGAAATGAGTGAAGCAGAAGCAGAAGCAGAAGCAGAGGCTGCCAGTGAAAAGGACTCTAGTATAGGACTCTGATAAAAGAAAAGTAATGATGTCTTTACTTTCTAGTTATCTTCGTATTTGGAAAATGCAGATGATGGATTTCCTCAGATCCGCTGGCATCAAACAGCAGATTTTGGCTTCGTGCCCAACGTAAAGATGCCCAATACTTTCATGGCTGTAGCTATGGATCTCTGTGACAGGGACTCGCCGTTTGGCAGGTATGGGCTTTGCTTGACCAGGACATGGTATTTGCTAGCCCTTCTTCACTCTGATGTTCACTTGTGAGGGGATGGACTCCCCTGATCTCGAACTGTCTCAGTTACTTTTCACTTGTTGCTGGGACAAATACCTGACACTCAAAAGTAAGGAAGGAAAGGCTTATTAAGCTCACAGTTTGTGGAGGTTTCAGTCCATACCGCACTGGCTTCAAGGCAGACAGCAGCAGTTCATGGTGGGAGAGAACAATGAAGAGCAGAGGAGGAGCAGCAGCTGCAGCATCCATCAAGCCTCTCTCTTCCTTCTACGCTGACCTACACTCCACAGCGAAGATCGTAACTCCTCCAGAGTGGTGCGGTGAAGACTGGGGCTTCTCCAATGACATGGGGCAGGCAAGAAGCCTTCCTCAACTCCTTTAGTCTTTTTGTGCAGAGTCACTCTGGGCAGCCCTGTTGGGCCCCAGGGCAGGACCAACCGTGCCCTAGGGCGGGCCCTCCCTGCACTGCAGGGTGTCCCCCCCCATGGAGCTGATCCACCTAAGCTTCCACATCTCAAGTTGACAGTGTATCAACTACCACAGGAAATTTCTAGAGCTTTCAATGGTAACAAACAGCTCAATGTGGCACACGTGCCATAGGTTTGCTGCCACAGGTTAGACTATGAATTGGAGCTTAGTTTCACTCTGTATCAGTGATCTATAGTGAGATATGCTGCAGTAACAACAACAAACCCTCAACATTATACTGCTTTTGTGGAACCGGGGATTGAACTCAGGCCCTTGCGCTTGTCAGGGAAGTGCTTATTCTACTGAGCCATCTCCCCGGCCCCTGCAGTGCTTTGATGGAGGAAAATTTATTTCATGCTCACACTCTGACCAAAGAAAGTCAACAGAAACTTTGGTTAAAGTCATTCACAAACCCAAAGCAAAAGGGACTCCAAGTTGATCTGCTTGTCCATAGTCACCTTCTAATCTCATATTGGCAAATGTAGAAGTAATCTAAGTCCGTGTTGCATCAGCCAAACTGTGTTACATAGCCACGGCCAGCGTTAGTGAGAGTGCGCCATGGGATTCTAGCATGGCCTCTGAAGATGGAGTATTTTTGAGCAGCTCCAATGAATACTTACACTAGCTGTAGGCTACAAGGGGATTTCATATATGAAATGGCCAGTAATAGGAGCTTGATTAATATTAAATCAACAAAAGCTGGAGGGGACCTCTGTTTATTCCTTCCTTCCAAGCCATTGATTACTTGAGTGTCCATATTCAGAGGCCCAGAGATGCACCTGTGTTTGCCACTCACCATTTCTCTTGAGGTGACTTCAGTGAGCATGGAGCTTAAGCAACTTTATTTTTATATTCTTTTTTTTTTTTTTTTTTTTTTTTTTTTTGTGGAACCGGAGATTGAACTCAGGCCCTTGCACTTGCCAGGGAAGCGCTTATTACACTGAGACATCTCCCCGGCCCTATTTTTATATTCTTAAAGGGTGCTTTGAATAATCTTTTAAAAATATGCTTATTGTTAGGCTCAAATTCAATGTTCTGTACTTGTTCCTTTCCCTGTAGCATCCATCCCAGGGACAAACAGACTGTGGCTTATCGACTGCACCTGGGGGCCCGCGCTGTGGCTTATGGTGAGAAGAATTTGACCTTTCAAGGACCACTGCCTGAGAAGATAGAACTCTTGGCTGACAAGGGGCTGCTCAAGCTCACATATTACCAGGGAATCCAGGTGCAGAGGCAGGATAAGAAGATATTTGAGGTGAGAACAGCAGGAGATGGAGGGCCTCATTCTCTGCCAGGAGTCAAGCTCCTCTGCTCCGTAATTCTTTCTCATTATAATGTAATCACGAGGCAGATCTGGCTGGCTGGGGGTGGTGTTGAGCCTCCCTTAGAGGGGTGAGGAAGCAGCGATTAATTCATTAGCTTGGAGGCAATTTTGATAGGCAGAGCAATTCAGAGAAGGAAAATAAGCCTCCACTGACTAATACTCCTTTCCTAGTGTCACTCCAAGGGTAACCATCTTTCCTCAGAGAAGAGCCTGCTGTCTTATTTATAGTTACCTATTGAAAGATCATTCCTTCAGAATATTCCTGTCAACCTTGGGTAGAGTTTTTTTTCGTTACACTGTCCTAAATTGTGACAGGTTTCTTGGGTTTAGTGTCTCCTTTGCAAACTTAAGCTCAGGGATTTGTAACTTAGTGTGAGTTAATGCAATGCAACTACCTTCTTCTAATACCTAAAAGGGATCATTATTTAGGAATCTTCCATAGTCGATCGAGGCTGGATGGTGGAGATATTTTTGAATGGAACATTGTAATGAATGTCTTTGTAAATCTCAAGGTCACTAGGCTGGGAGAAGATAGAGGAAAGAGGGCATCAGAGAAGAGAAACCATTAAACACAAACTCCACCTTGGAGTTCAGGCAGGGTGTGCTAGCTTTTTTGTGAGTACATGGTGTCCGCCTGCCTCATGCCCTGTCAGTGTTTGTCCTACATAGCTTCTTTCCAGCTTCATTTTAGATTCCCAAGGTTGTACCTTCCAAGTTCTTGCACTTGCTGGTTATCTGCCCATTGACTAGCACCAGAGGCATAGTTGGATCAGAAGAGAAGTTAACTTTTGGGTCCTGGACCCTTGTGTTCCCTTTTCTCAACTGCCTTCTGGCTGCAGAGGTGTAGTGGCCACAGCTCTTTTGAGAGCACTCCAGCATCACTCCATTCCCGCCTGCTTTGCCTTCTGATGGAAGGGCCACTGCAGACCTGTCCAGGGGAGCCTCCCTAGGTGCTCTGTGTATGAATGTGCTCTCTGTCTTCCAAAGTTCATGTTTTTTTTTTTTAAATAACTTTATTGAGAAACAAATAGCAATGAGACAGTTTCAAAACCAATTACTAGCACAGTTTCACTAATTAATACATTGCATATTGTTGTCTTAGTGGTTACTCATTGTACAAGATGCAGACATGATATCCTGTCCACAGACAATATTAGAACAAATCTCTTTATTCAGTGGTCCAAGAGAATGCATCTGTGTATCTAACTATTTTGAAGATACAGATACAAAATGGTCGTTCATTTGTATCCCCCTTTTTGTTTCGTTTTGTCAGAGAAAAACTGACAAAACTTTTGTATCGGATAAGGTCAGTTAAATCCCCTCATTGGCATTTAAATATTGTAAGTGCCTGAATTCAGCAAAATAGTCCAATATAGTCCAGTAGTCCATAATAGTAGTGGGTTTTCCGTAAGACTGGCGATGACAGAAGTTGTAACTTGGCTGGGGGGACGGCTCAGTGGAATAAATGCTTGCCTGGCAAGTGCCAGTGCCTGAGTTCAATCCCCTGTTCTGCCAAAAAAAAAAAAAAAAAAAAAAAAAAGAAATAAAAAAGTTGTTGACTTGAGCATATTAATATGGCTTTACCCTCTATACTGTGTTCCCACATTTCTCTGCTGGATGGTCAAGACCAAGACAAAGCAAGACCTATATAATAAGTAATGTAACTTTTGTATCTGATAAGGTCAGTTAAATCCCCTCAGGATTTATCCTGAAACCCTGTACCGCAGTTTGTAGATGCTTTGTCAGTGTCAGCCATGTGGTTGAGTCACAGCCATTGCTTGACCAATATGCTCTCTGTGAAAGCCTGAGAGATTGTTTTCTCTCTATGTGACTCTTAGGCACACTCGACATTATCAATCACTTTACTCTGTGGCCCCATAATTTCTTTGATCAGAAAATTTGGGACACAACTGAGTTACATGATGTTACAGTACAGGTTCTCCTATGTCCTGAGTCTTCACTGACCTTGAAAGGCTAGGGCCAAAATGTTAGCTGTCCTTGCAGCCCTTCTTTTTCTCTAATTTTTGTTCTGTGAACTTGGGTTGCTAACCCTCCAGAAGAGAAGCTTGTTAATATTAGCCTACCACATACACAGTTCAGCTTAACCTCACTATCTGTCTGAATCTTAAACACCTTAGGCATAACATGGACAGGTATTTTCCATCAAGCATTGATATGTTAAACCTTAAGTCCCTACAGAATATGAAGAAAAAAATTAAAAAATAGGAATAAACAATTACATATTTTTACACAGAAATTTAGAAATCTATGTACAGCATTGTAGCAGGACAGTCCGATGACATTTTTTTCTTGTCTCTTCGTTTATTACCCCCCCTTTTTTTTAAACAAACATTTACTTGAGAGACAGTATGGCAGTAATAGGTATGTCATGACCAATAGTATGTATTTAGAAGACCAGAATGACAGGCATTCCAAGCATGATCCTACCATTACACATTGCCTTCTTCAGTGAAGTTGCTTAGTAATGTTTCGTTTATTGATTTAACTTATTTGATCACACGTCTATGCTGGTGCTGGAGAGCAAAGCAGAGCCTTGCACATTGCGAGCACGAGCTGCCCAGCCCACCAGAATTCGTCACTGATTCGTGCCCTTTGCTACCAGAGCCACCTTGGATCAGGTCCTGGTTATTACAGGAAGTGTTTTTGGCCAGGAGTGGGCCCTTACCTCCTCTCTAACCTGCTGAAAGTGCAGTTGTGTTTTCCTGAAAAGCCCTGCCTGACTACGCTTGTCCTTTCCTCTCTTACTAGATCTCATGTTGCAGTGACCGTCAGTGCGAGTGGCTTCCAGCTCCCATGGGCAATTTCTCCTCGCAGATCCTGAGCTTGGCTGTCAACTCTTGTCTCGGCACTGTGGCTGCTCTTCGCTACGCCTGGACCACATGGCCTTGTGAATATAAGCAGTGTCCCCTCTACCACCCCTGCAGTGCCCTGCCAGCTCCTCCCTTTGTTGCTTTTATTACAGACCAGGCTCCTGGACATTAAGGCTGCCCAGTGACAGCTGCTGTGTGGTCAGATCTTAGATGGAGGGAAAGGCAGATTTTGGCATTTAGGAGTTTAAATGATGACAACTGAACTGCTCCAAACTAGAATATGGCCTTTTTTCTGGAATAAACCGGGGCTGGCAGGCAACTGGCAATACTTGCCTTGGTCCCCTAATTAGTCTAAGCCTGAAAACTGGACTAATTCTGAACTGTAACCAAATTGGACAACATCATATACTGCCCTCATGTTAATGGGAATGAGTGTCTAACATTTTTGCCCCTTTGCCTCTAGAACTGTGGAATCTCATGGTTAGAAGAGGTTTTAAAGGCCACAGAAGCTGACTAAGTGTTTCTTGTGTCCTTTGCAAATTTTTTGATGAGTGATTATTGAATCTAACAAACTTCTAAAGTTTCCAAAGGTTTTTCTTCATGAAGAACTTAAATTTTTCATGTAATTTTTGTCTTTCAGATAATTGAAATAAACCTATTTGTATTTTCTTTAAGTCCCAAACAATTAATTATATTCCTTCAGTGTAAAACCAAGAACGAGGCCCATGCAAGCACATTGGGAGGGGCCAAGGATCTGCCTAAGAGGGCAGGGTGGGAGTACTAAGTAGCCCCATGCAGGACTCAGGTGGCAGTGCGGAGGGGTGGGAGTAGGGCTGGATCACAGGAAAAATGCAACAGTGGAGGTATCTGAGGAAGACTGTAAGACTGTGGAGTTAAATATGTTTCAGGCCCTTTCAAGCCAAAAGACTGGGCCAGGAAAGTCAAAAGATGTAAAGATAGTCCTCATAGAAGGAGAGAGGCTGAAAGGAACGCTCAACAGTGAGCTTATAAAACAGTGCTTTTGAGGCGAATGTGAAAGACGCTTCTGTCTAGACTAAGAATTATAGTGGAGTTTACTAGTTGATGAAAGATAGCGGATGGCCCTTGAAAACTACTGTAAGTTGGAAATGAAAGCATTATGATTTGTGATGTTTACATATTTATGTCATCAAAACTGTGTTAGGACTTAAGTGTCTGAGGCACTTAAGTCTCAGGGTTAGACGGCTCAGCAGCATAAGTGCCTGCCTGGCATGCACAAGGTCCCGAGTTCAATCCCTGGTATTGAGAAGCAAAAAAAAAAAAAAAAGCTTTTATTCCTTGAATGTGAAAAAAGAGACCTAAAGCAAGAAGCATCATCTCTGCACCCCCAAGGGGTTCTGGGGTAGTGCCAAATAGCAGGAATAGCTTTATCAGGTCATATTTAGAAGAAAAACCAGGAAACGAATTGTGTGCCCTGCAAGGAGCTTTGGCTTCCTCAAGAACGACCCAGTGTAGTGAACTCCTTCCACATCTTTATGCATCTGGCCTCACGGGAATCATGGACCTAGAAAAGGCCTAGGTGCCTGAGAATAAGTCAATTTACCTGTCCACCCCTCTCCCAACTCCACATGTAACAACCGGCTGCTCTAACTTGGGGGCAGCTAGAAGTAGCCAAGAACTGTAAGCCCCAGCTGTGTACTGCTTGTCTACCAGTCTCCCCAAAGCCTCAGGCATTTGGGGCGGCAGCTTTTGGCAATGACAGGATCACAGGGTGTGATGTGCATCGGAGGAGTCCACTGATGAGTTTAGAGCTGAACATGATGCTGGGGTGCAGCCTGGAGGGCCTCTCCCCCCGCCCCTGCTTCCTGCCTGGCTTGCCCTGAGCTGCTCCTTCTCTGCCGTGCTGCCCTGCTTTGAAGCCAGCCGACTATGGGCTGAAGCCTCAAACTGTGAGCCAAATACACCTTTCCTCCTTTAAGTTATGGGTGTTGAGTATTTTGTCCCAGCAACAAAGAAAGTAAGACAGCTATCCGACAACCTAATACACAGGGTGTAAGACATCTGGTTTAGATAATAGATACATGTACCTGTACACATCAAGTTATACATGAAAGAATTTATTTTTAGTGGCCGAGTGACTTAAAATATACTGTGGAAGTTCAGTATATTTCCCCAATGGAAATACATTTTTACTGCTTGAAAAATGAATAATCACTATAGACAGTAGACACTAAAGAAAAGCAACAAAAATCACCCCCCAAAATTATCATTCAGAGAAAGTATTTTGGTGAACACTCAACTTGATTTGGGTTATACAGTGTTATGCACTATACAGTATATTACCTTGTCATGTGTTGACATTCTACCAAAATAAATTTTTTTTTTTTTTTTTTTTTTTGAGCTGGGGTTTCATATGTAGTTCAGGCTGGCTTTGAACTCACTGTGTAGCACTGGCTATGCTTGAACATGCAGCAATCCTTGATTCAGCCTCCCGAGTGCTGCGATTACAGGTATGCACCATCACGCCTGGCTCAAAATAACTTTATACAAATATATTTAGAGTGTTTAGTTTGTGGAAGCCCCATTTTGTGTTCAATTATTTTCTATTAATAGACATACTGGCTTTTTTTTTTCTTTTTTCACAAATTTCTGGTAAACTAAGGTGAGTTTTACATGCAAACAACATACCTCACTTGCTGTTATTTCTTAAGCTCATAACATTGAATAACATTAAAATCAACATATATTTAAAATGTCACTCTGTTCAGCTTAATCCTAACAAAGTAAACAAGTTACACTCCTATTTACATTATTTCTCCATCTTCTAACACATCTTTAATAATCTGATACATGAAAGGAGAATTATGTATTGGGCAGTGTTTTTCAAGTTTTTAAGAATTTGTGATCCACAGTAAGACATCTGACATTTCATGCAGACACAAACCTACACAAATAGTTGAAAACAGTTTCAACCTTTCTCCATGTGATGTAGCACTGGCTATGCTTTATGTTTATTAAAACATCCAATATGTTTTAATTCTTTTTTTTTAATTTTTTTTATTTTAGGGAAAGGTCAACAGGGTGCTCGGGGTCTCATTACTAGATCTCACTCGTAGCGATTTACCTGTTTACAGTCTCCCAAGAGCTGGGACTACAGGCTCATGCCACCACGCCTGTCTCAATTGCTGGCAGTTGAGACAGCAGACGGCAGTCTCCACTGCCAGGGTCTCAGAGTGCCAGCCTGCTTGCAGGTGCTTTAATCCCGAGCTATTTGGCCGGAACTTTTATTTCACTTTAAGAGATGTAAGTGTTGACTCTAAGCTTAGGAACAGCTACTAGGTTGAGATTCAAGTAGTTTGAAAACCATTCTAATTGTACCAATTTATTTTTAACACATCTTTCTAAAATGAGGCTCTCTTAAGACAAGTTTTTTTTTTTTTTTTTTTTTTGCGGAACTGGGGATTGAACTCAGGCTCTTATGCTTGCCAGGGAAGTGCTTATTCCACTGAGCCATCTCCCCAGCCCGAGGCTCTCTTTTAATACACTTTTATTCAAGCTGTAAGAGACTAGAAAGACATCTATTATATGGTAATGGCAGCTTCTAGCGTCTCGGCAGAGGTAAACACGCCCCAGAAACTTATGCAGAGAAACAAGGAAAACACTGCAACATCAACAGCCTTCAGTAACTTTCTATTTATCCAAATTGTATACTTTTCTTTTGCACTGTAAAACTTATACAAACTTACAAAAAGGCTAATCATTTTTATCAAATGAATACTGATGAATAGCTGGTGATAGTCTTCAGTGGCCAGCAGGTGTGCCACACACTGCACCTTGGGATCCCTCTCTCTGCAGGTCACTTACTGCTGTAAAAGGGTAGTCCCACCATGGTGTTTTCAATTGGCAGTCATGAATTACAGCACATGAACGTTCTTAGCCCGCCTTCCCTGCTCTACCTCTGGCCCTTTGGTCCACCCTCCACCCCCAGCCCAAAGCCAGCCCCGGCATCTCACAAGGTGGGATGGGTTGGTAGTGGTAGGGACTGCGTGATGTAGTACCACTCCTGCTTTTAGCAGGATCCAAAGAATGTAGTTGTATAGGATATGGAGTGATACAGCTAAAATGAAATGACAGGGTGAGTCTGTTATGGGAACTGATCTCTAGTTATGTTGTATTTGAATTTATATTACTATGTGATTTCAACACAGTGAGCTAAAAGCACATTCTCTAATAAAGAGCCAAGGACATATAGAAATGGTTGGACTTTCTCTGCGCCTTCAAGGAGGTGTAAAAATTTAAAAAAAGATTAACAGTGTACCATAGACTAGACTTTCTGGCTTGGGTATAAGCACAGGATTTTTTTTTTTAACGAAGTTACTGAGATAGCAGTAGGAATCTAGATTGTAAAGACTAGGTTGATATTCTTTGGGCAAGAATCAGAATAAAAAGTAGATGGTTATCAGAATCTTTGTGTTTCCCTTAAAAATTAGCAGCCACCAAAGCCTCAAAGTTTGTGCTAAACAGTAATCCCTAACCGTGGCATTAGGAGGCAAGGTCGGAGGAGGTGATTAACCATGATGGCTCTGATGGCATGAGACTTACAGAAGGGACCCCAGAAAGCTACCCTGCTGCTTCCACCATGAGAAAGTATGGCAAGGCATCTGTGCGAGAGCCAAGCAGTGGGCTCCCCAGACACTGCCTCTGCTGGCACCCTGAATCACACTTGCCAGCCTCTAGAACTGTGAGAAAGGGTTTTTAAGAAGCAGTGCGAACTGGACTTAGGATTGTGCATGCTAAGGTGTAACACTGTGTTATACTGCAGCACTTTGTAATTTAAGACTGGATCTCACTAGTTGTCTAGTCTGCTTTGACCTTGTATCTTCCTGCCTCAGCCCCCAAGTAGCTAGGATAATGGGTATGTGCCCATGTCCAATAAGAAATCAATGTCTGCTGTTTGTGAGACCTTCAATATATGGTATTTTCTTACAGCAGTCTGAAAAGACTAATATAGCAGCTCTTGTATTTAGGCAGACTGAAGCAAAGAAGATTATAACCTGATTATAAGATGAAAAAAAATAAGCAGAACTGTGAAGAGAAATTTATTACTAAAAATAAAGCAAGTGAGGTTTTTCTCAGGGTATGCTGTTACCACAGGAACCTCCATGAGGAAATATATTATCTTCTTTGTTTCCGGATTGCTGCCTTCTTCCATATATTCCAAGTTAAAAACATTCCTCATGGTGAAGAGGAGGCTACGGTTTCTCCTTGCTCAGTCTGAGGACTGGACTGGGCTACACTGTGGTGGAGACTCCAGGTGCTGCAAGTGTGTCTCCACCAGGGGCTCCTGGGTTAGGAACTCGGGCTCATAAGAGGCCACAAAGACTGCAGGCTGCAGCTCAGGGAGGTCCAAGGATCCTGGAGAAAACAATTCTTTAAGTTCCACTGCTGCCCATGAATCTCAGCAGTGTTCTGTCAAGACACACACACATGGCCTTTTGCTTAACATCCTTGCATCTGTCAGCCCAATTTTGCTGCTGGTTGGTAAATCAGAACAGTTACTTTTGCAACGAAGAAAACTGAAACAGATGAAGTGATCTGCCTATGGTTACAGGGCACACTTACAGCTTATGACTCCAGTGTGGAACTCCTGATCACTCTACTTGTGGGAAGGAAGCTGTGCCAGCGCCATGTCACAACATAAGCCTTTTCTCTTCACTTAAAATGCTATTCCATTTACAGAAGGCTTCCCCATGTTTCTTAGGTTTTACTTAGGCTAGAGAAAGACTCATCTTTTGATGGGTTCTACCTCGTTAGGATTACAGGTGCTCCCTGCGCCTCCTATAATCTAGTGACCTCGGCAGGCTGCACTCCCTCCGATTCTGCACCCTTTGCTGCTAGAGCAGCAAAGATTCCCATCGCTTACTGTCCAGCTACTTGGAGTACCCAGCAATGTGGGAAGGAGGTATAGTATTTTCAAATCAGAAGGGCAAAGTTAAAAGATACCCGGCAGAATGGGATCATGATGTTCTTCATCAAAGGTCTGTCTCTGAAAAGCTTCAAAGCTGGCAGCTGCCTCGTTCTCTGGTGCTCCCTGGTGTAGCTGTTCCTCTCCAGGTTTGCAAACATTGAATTTTACCCACTGGTAACTGCAGGACCAAAGGGAAATATTCTTCAGCTTGTCTGCTAGCCTGTAATAAAGCATCCCTACCACCCAAGGGATGGTTTTTCTTTAGGCTTCTTCCACGCACATCTAGAAAACATATTAAGGAAAAGAAAACCTGAAAGAAAATAGGCAGGCCTCTTTCATGACACATTACTCTGCTAGGCCTGTCAACCCTTTGTTGCTATGGCACACAAAATGATACAATTTAAGCATCCCTAATCAAAATCCAAAATTCAAAATGCTCCAAAACATGAATATGTCTTGAGTGTCCACCTAAAGCCACAAGTAGAAAATTCCACACTTCATATGACAGGTCACGGTCCTGCAGGTGCGCTAAAACTGCTGTGTAGAATGACCTTCAAGTTATGTGTATGAAGGTGTAAATGAACTCTGTGTTTATACTTGGGTCTCATTCCCAAGGTATCTCATTTACACAAATATTCAAAACCTGAAGTATTTTGGGTCCCAGGCATTTTAGATAAAGGATAGCCAACCTACAATAATTATAGCACAGTGGGGTCCTGGCTCTTGCTCATCTATCTAGAGTTGTATTGAGATATATCTGTCAAGAAGCCAACATGCTTCATATATAGTTGTTCAATAAATGTATGAATGAATAAAGTAGTAACTGTCAGTTTAGGTCTCTGTCTCATCACTAAACTTCTCTCAATGGAATGGGTTCGATCATACTCACTTGACACACTTTCGAGCTCCTGGACAACCCTGTATCAGATTGAGGATGGTTGGATGAGAAAACCCAAAAAATTCAGCTCCTGATGCAAGCAGGTTAGGCATTAGCTTCCCCCTAGAGAGGAGAGAGAGAATATGAGCTGGAGATAGAGGGAGATGAAGATGAGTGTAAGCATGGGACGGTGCTCTGAACACACAGGCTGAGCTTTCTTGAGCTAGATACTCTGGTGGTCTCTATTAAAATGGATCTCTTCACTAAAAGAAGGTGTCTACGTGGATCTTTCAGCCTGTCTTTGGGCTGCTGGTAGACTCACACAGTAGCACTGATGGTCTTGAGCAGTTCTTCATGACAACCATCTGCAGAGGAGCTGACAATAGCATTCTGGGGGTCGTCTTCAGGAACAATTTCAAACTGAGGACAAAGGAATAGTGAGATCAATCTGTAGGAGGGAGCAGAGTCACACTATTCCTAAAACCATATCTTCACTCTAAAGAGATCTTGGAGCCACTGTATACCACACTAGAAGATGGGCACAATTTCCTGTTAAAACAAGTAAATAAAGAAAGGCCTATTTCAATTTCACACTTATTGGATAAATGTTTTGTTCCACACCCTTTCTTATCCATTATATCATTAAGGTCAAATACAAACGCTAGTTTGGAATCAAATGAGATCACCCTCCACATCCAATAATGTTTTCTGTTCCCATTTGCTCATTTCCTAAGAAATACAAGATTATCTAGAAGTACTGTATTCTGGGTCAAAGAATGTATTTATTAAAATTGTTAATATTGCCAAACTGCTCTACAAAATGATACCAAATTTCACTCTTACTAATATGTACTTGTTTTCCTATATCCTGCTCAAGATATCAAACTGTAATACTTGCTTATGGGAAAAATTAAGGTCTTGTATGTGACTGCTTTTTACTCTATAGGCACATTTATCTGAATATTAATCCCTTGCCATATATTTTCTTTCTGTTTGTTGCTTGGCTATTAGTTCTGATGATGATTTTTTTTCTGATTATGATGTTTTTTGTCATAGAATTATTTAAATTTTTAGTACTTCCATCTTATTTTCCTTTGTGGGTTTATTCTTTGATGTCTTGCCAAAGCAAACCTTTTTTACCTTGTCCCAAGATTTTAAAAAGTTCTACATTTTCCTTTAATGTTTATGGTATAAAACATTCTGTAATGTTAAAGTGATTAATTCACATTGGCACTAGTAGACAAATCCAGGAAACAGAATTATCTGGGAACAGATCCCAGTATTATGTATGTTTAATTTGTGTACTAAAGTCATTTGATGTTAGGAAAAAAATTAAAGCTAAATTTCTAGTTTGGAAAATACCTACAAATACTGTCTAGTTAGGTTAGTTACCTAAAAATGAAACCTGAAAATCTTACAGGCTCTTTTTCAAAATCTTTTACCATTTGGTCTTTTAGTGGAAATTAAGAATCAGCTTTTCAAGTTCTGTTAAAATTCTATTAGGAGTTTGATTAGATTTGTGTTGCATTTAGAGGTTTGTCATAAATGTGCAAATCTGCTAACAGTTTTTCTGTTCAAGTACTTTCAGGAGAGAACTGCTGCAGAACCCAATAATGGTAACTCTCAGCTCTATCTAAAGTGCTCTAACTTACAGCAGTGCAACACCACGCAGGTGGGTCAGGCAGGCGCAGCATCTTCCCAGTCTCTTTGCAATAGTTCCTTAGCTTCCATCTACCTCTTCCAACCCAATCTATAACTTCATTAATGAAGCCTGGAATACTGAAAATGGTCTGATTTTTCTAAAGAATAAAGAGATGAAGGATGGGGAAATAAACTATGTAATATCTTACACTAAGAAGGATGAAGAAAGGTATCTAGGACTGGGGCTATAGCTCAGTGGCATAAGCGCCTGGGAACAGATCCCAGTATTATATATGTTTAATAGGTGTACTGAAATCAGTTGATGTTAGTTAGGAAAAAAATTAAAGCTAAATTTCTAGTTTGGAAAATATCTACAAATACTGTCTAGTTAGGTTAGTTACCTAAAAATGAAAGGTGAAAATCTTACAGGTTCTTTTTCAAAATCTTTTACCATTTTGTCTTTCAGAGGAAATTCTGAAAAAGGTTCTGAGTTTGATCCCCTGTATTGGGGTGGGGGTACAAAACAACAAGAACAAAAAACCCAAAAACAAAGTAACAGAAAGGTATCTAACTAGAGTAGGATTTGGGATTCCCAGGTCCTTCAGCATAAGCACAGCCTCTTTTGAGTATGCAGTCTCTTTCCTACCTTCACTTTGGTCCAACCTGAAATGGCAGTGCATCAAACTAATCCTCCCTGAGCCTATACTTCACATAAGCAGGGTTGACCTGGCTTCACACAATCAAAATATGGACAGCAGAAATAGCGTAGGTCAAAGACAAGGGTCGGAGAATTAGCCAAACATAGATTCCTATCCCAGTTCAAGGTGTGACTTACAGCTTGCTGCTTTTTCTGCATCTGTGGTTACCCACATGGCAATTACACAGTATCAGCCTTGTGTCAGAATAGGCAACACATGGTGAATGCCTGGAACAGACAAAATTCTCAAAAAAAAAAAAAAAAAAAAAAAAAAAAAAAAAGTGGTAACAGTCAAATGGGTACCTGCGGCTGCACGCCCCCATCCTTGATCTGGCAGGTATACAGACACGTCTGGTCTGGGCACTTCATGCTGGCATACACTCGAGTACTGCTGTAGCCCACAGGGTAGATGGCGTTCTCATCATGGAAGCCAGGTCGGTCGGTGATGATCTATAAAAGATTCCCCCAATCTGGGATTGAAGGACTGAAGGATTTACAAGCTCAGTTTATTGTGATAGCCTTTAGAACCACTTTGGGGCTACACAGTGACTGAAATCACACACAAGTGTCTGCTGTGTAGCAGACAAAACTGACCTGGTTTTGCAGGGACTGGAGTCTTTCTGGGGTTGGTATGGATCAGCAGGGGCTGCTGCTAATAGGAACAGGGAGGGAAGGCTCAACCCATTACCATGTTTCTCTCACTCTCCTCTCTGTAGGTCGCTGGTCTCACTCACCTCCCCCAGGCTATACACTGTTAGACCCCCTAGTCCGATGGGAAACATAGGCCGTCCAGAGGGATCCCGGGCAATGGGCTGGACCAGCTTGCGAGCACCTCCCTCCATTTTCTTTCTCTTGGATGTTTTCTTCAGAACTGAAACGCAAATCTGGGGTCACCCACTTTAGCCCCCTTTCAATGCTGAGGGGTAGGGAAAAATTTACACATGAAAGCTAAAGGCAATAAGCCAATCATGTTTTTATATACATATGGTCTTCGACTTACAATGTTGTTAGGTACTGATAAACCCATCCTGTTGAAAATACTGTGAAACTGCGTACACTACACCAAACATCATAGCTTAGTAACAGTGCTTCCCCTGTGGTTCTGTGGCTGAGGGACTATCCAGCACAACAGTGTCATTCTACAGATCAATAGCCCAGGAAAAGATCAACACTCAAAATACAGTTTCTACTGAATACCAATCACCTTCACACCACTGTGAAGCTAAAAAGTCATTAAGCTGAACCATTGTAAGTTGGGGACCATCTGTATTCACTTAAAAGACGAAAGGTCTCCTTTTCCCAGAAGCCCTGAATAAAGCACCAGGAGCTATGACACTTACATTTTTAAGTCTTGACTTATAAGATCAGAAATTTCTCAAGCTAGTAGTGTGCTCAAGCGGTCACCCAGCCCACTTCCCTGCTTCTAGAAGAAGTGAATGCAACCCAGACATACTGGTGGAAGAGGGAGAGAAGATGTCTTAGCTTGCTCCCTTTGCCTTGAACTAGATCTAACTAGAATCTTTCCATCCAAAGTGACTCTAATAATTTAGACTCTTATTCTGCAAGGGCCTTTATGAGAATTATGAGGCTTAAATGTGCATGTGGCCTCCTGTGGTTAATAGTGCTGTGTCTCAGTCACCGGAGTTGAGCCACCGGGGCAACTGATATACCGTCTCCCAAAAGTACCTTCCAGTTTGTTGTTCTCTTTTCCTTTTTCCTTTTTCTCCTTCTTGGATTTCTTCCCAAATGGCTCCTCAGCCCCAGTGCTGGGTCCAGCTCCCGATATAGTTCCCACAGAGCTGGCCACACCATAAGTCAGGGGCAAAGTGGAGCTGTGGGAAGGAGCTGCACCCTGTACGTCCCCCTCAGTTAGAGCCTGAAGTTGGAGAAGCTTCTTTAGCAGGTACCTGGGGTGAGGGAGGAAAGACAGCAGAGGTATGACATTCTGTTGTTGCAAATTTCCCAGTATTTTCCCCAAGTACTGGGAAAAGCGAAAAATTATCACGTGTAAAAAAATGACTCCTGTTGAATCCTGGGAATACGGAGAGGATAATCAAACCTTTAAGAAGCCTCTTGCATCTACAAAGGCCCTCTACCATGAGGCTGCGGAATGCTAAGCACTGAGAGGCATACATTATGAATTAGATTTTATGTACCCACTGTGCTCTCCATGGAGTAGTGCGGACTAAATATGAGCACCTCTTTTATGCTTAGATTTTTAATAAGATTACTTATCAGACATGGTGAGGAGGCTTTGTTAGATGAGAAAAGGAGCTGTCTCATCATCATGGTCCAGCATGACCTGGGTGTGTATGTATTTATGGCAGAGGTGGTGAGTTTCACCTTACTTGAACCCAAAATGAAGCCAGCTCACCTTCTTTCTTCTTTTGCTTTAAGGAATTTTTCCTCAAGACGAGCAATTTCATCACAAATGGCAGCATTTTCCTTTAAGAATAATTTTCAACATAATCACATAAAATGAATAAAAGATCAAGGTACTGACTTGGGAGGAGGATCCATATTATAAACCACCAAAGTCTATGTCACTGGGGAAGGGAAGGCCAGTACCTTGCAGACAAGCTATAATTAAATCTAGAGGGAAAGGCAGTCAGGTTCTACTACAGGCAGGGTAACTGTATATATAATGTATGACTGAATCTGTGACGCCTGTTGTGTCTGCTTATGCCAGAACTCAATATGCCTGGATGGACTACAATGTGGTCACCCTGACTAGGATGGCCTTTGGCAGAGAAAAGCACACACTACTGAAATTCACACTAGAATGTAATTATGAGGACTGTATGTAGAAGGGCCTTGACTTTTTAAAAAAATCTTTTATTTGGTACAGGGTCTCACTAAGCAGGTTGGACCTGTAGTGATCCTCCTATCTCAGCCTTCCCAGCACTGGGATTGTGGGCGTGTGCCACTCCGCTGGGTTTCTGTAGGGTTCCAAGGCTGGCACAGCATGTGGTACTGGGTCCTTGAGCTTGCCAGATAGGTGCTTAGGTTGCAGAGCTATTGCCCCAGCCCTGTGCCTTGACTTTTAAGAAACAAAGACAACTTAACCCAACGCAACCCAAATTAAGAGTACCTTAGGACGAAAAACTAGATGGAACAAAATCTAATGTGTGACATTCTTAGGCTGCAAAATTTACTTGTATACATTCAAGTATCTTTTCCTTTTTTCCTCAATGACTATTTTCTAAGCACCAAACCTTAGGAAATGCTCTGTTCTGGACGCTCAAACTCAAAGGATCACGAACAGGTGGAACTCAAATCCCTTCTCACAAAACCTGCTTCACATACTTGAGGGAATCAATATCCTTATGTCACTTAAACACAGATGCCAAGCTTTAGGTCCCTTTGGCATGTAGGGAATAAAGACAGGAAATAGTCCAAGGTCAAGTCCTCTTAATTCTACTTATTTTCCTCCAGTGCACACTCCACGTGGTGGACAAATGTTTTTGGAAAGATTATTCTAATTTCCAAACTTTTCCATATGCTTCAAAAGATGTATAGGAAAGAGAGGAAAACTACAGATTCAGATGCGGAAAGTCACCGCAGGAATTCGTCCCTGTCCCTGTGTCCAAGTGGCAAGGAAGGTTTGTGCAGGCCAGAACACTGTGACACAAAGTTACGGTTAGCAAGCCAGTTAGTTCATTCAATCAACTCGATATCCCTACAATAAAAGGAAGGGGCTGGGGATGTGGCTCAGTAGTGGCACACACTCTAGCACGCCTGGCTCTGGGTTCGATTCCCGGTGAGGTCGAAACAAAACAACACAAACACTTGGAAGACTCAATGGTCTTTCTTATCAAGGGAAAATTACAAAGATTTCAGGAACGTGTTTAGGGCAAGAAATCAGTTAAGGGGCTGTGGAAAGCTTGGAAAATTACGCTGTGTAGTGGAAAGACGTAATAAATTGGAATCAGGGTGTCTAAGTTGGCGTCAGGGCTCTGACTGCGCACTACAGCAAATCACATATCTGGGGTTCAGTTTTCCCATTTTTAAAACACTTCCGTATTCGCAGGTTATCTCGAAAAATCAATGCATTTCTGAATAACGATAATGACCCAAACGTAGTGGCAGATCTACCAAGGGCTTTATTTTTATTATTTACTCGTCTGCGAGGTAGTCACTAGCTCCCTTTACAGACGAGATTAGACAAATTAACTTGTCCAAGGACCCAGCGCTAACAAGTAGTAAAGCAGACTGAAAAGCTAACACTCTATTCATACTGTCCCGCTGGGGAGGGGGCAAGTTGGGGAAAGACTTCGCTAGAGAGCAGTCTCGCGGCGGAGACCGGCTGCGCGCCCAGCAGACTCACAAACACCGTGGCCTTGGCCGCTTTGCGCAGCCGCAGGTACTTTAGCCGGTACTTCTCGTTCTGGCTCTTCTTCGGAAGCTTTTTCATCCTGGCCTTGCCGGACGGCTGCGGGGCTCGCGTTCGCGGTGAGGAGGCGACACCGCCCAGGAGGCTCATGGTCCCGCCCCGAGGCGGGGGCTCCAGGATGCGGCCCGCATTGGCTCCGAGGCCGAGGGGGGCGGAAGCGGCGGCTGTGTCGGCCGTGGGGTGGCGGAACCTGGCCTCTGGCACTCTAGCGCTCCGGGAAGTCCCCAAAGCGGACTGTCGGACCAGAATTGCTGCGACCAAATGAGGTACGGGCGCTTCCCAGCAGTTCCGCGTCCGCGTCGGAAGTCGGCCCGCCGGAAGTGACGTAAACACGCAGGCCGGGGCGACTTCCGGGTTTGGGAGGCGGGGAGGTTGTGGTCTCTGCGGGTCTCTACGGTGAGAAGAAACGTGGGCTCTCGGAGATAGCAGAGGGGCAGCGGGACGAGGCTGCCGTGCGCCTGTGTGCCTCGCGGAGGAGGTTGCGGAGCCCCAAGGCCGCAATAAAGGAAACGTGACCAACACTAGCACTTGGTGGCGTTCTTACAGGGCCTGCATTTCAACACTTTTCACACTTTCTACAGTTCGACCCTGGATTGTGGGAAACACTCGAACGCAAGTTCTGGGATCCTGCTTTTTTCCTTTCTGTCGTTTGCGCCAATATTCGTTGTGTTAGATCGTCCTAGGAGCTGGGGCTTCCGTAGTGAGTAGGAGGAAAGGCCTTGGCTCTTTGACGGTTTGGAATCCCGTAGAGAGAGTTTAGATTTAACAAGCCCAGTCTTGGTAGCACAAAGTAAACCGTTAATATTTTCCTAGAGAAACCAAGTGCCTTCTTTTTTTCTTCTCGTTCTATTTGAGACAACGTCCCACTGTGCAGCTCAGTCTGGCCTTGAGCTCACTTCGTAGCCCAGTCTGGTCCGGAATTTGAAGCAATCCAGTCTCATCCTCCAGAGTGCTGGGATTACAGGCGTGCACCACTACGCCCAGCGATTAATTTCTGAACCTAAACCTATATTTTTATAATTCTGACCTCACGACCAAGGACTTCTTTGGAGTTTTTTTTTTTTTGTTTTGTTTTTTTTAAATACCGGAGATTAAACTCAGGGCCTTGTGTTTGCTAGGCAGGCACTTATGCCATTTAGCTACCCCCCCCACCTTTTCTACAAAAATTTTCCTGCAGAAAATATAGGAGATTTTAAAAAAATTCATAGGACTGGGACTGCAGCTCAGTAGTAGACTGCTTTGCCTGGGTTTGATAGCTAGCACTGATAAGAAAGAAGGAAGTAAAGAAATTATGGAGGCTTGGTCATATTTAAATAAAATTTTTGATTTTCATCACCAAAAGAAAAGAACCCGAGCATAAACTACCCCAAACCCAAGACAACCCTATGCCTAATAAGCCCTCAAGAAACTTGTCACAAACCACTTTTAACATGTTATCATGTTTATATTTTGATGTACTTTCACGCAGGTCAAACTACTTAGTATCTGGTTTGTTTTCTTTTTTCATTTATTATCATTTTACTGAGTTAGTATTCTGGTTAGAACTCCTATTTTGCATAATTATTTCCATGTTACTTGACTATTTGATGCATTGCTGTCAGGTCCCCCCCCCCCCCCAACCAGGGATTGAATTCAGGCCATGCGCTTGCCAGGGAAGTGCTTATTCTACTGAGCCATCTCCCTGGCCTGCTGCGAGTTTTTGTGTAGAAAGCTTTTTCCATATAGTACCTTTTACAGGCTGGGATTAACGCTTAATGAATGGTGGTCCTGACTGATTCATTCTTTTGCTGATTTGTGTAGAATATTTACTTAGTGTGTATGGGCACAAAATCTTTAGGAAACAGTTCAAGAGGGAATGGCAGACAAGTAAATTAGCAATATTAATACAGTGTAGTTTTTTATTTCAGAGGTCGGTTTTAGTTGCTGTGGGAATACCTGGTTAGGGAAGGGAGAGGGAAAAGGAAGCCTGCTTGGAGGAAATAGGCCTGAGTTTGCTTGCAAGGAGAAATAGTGATTGACCCAGAGAAGAGCATGCTGGGGGAGACAGTACCTTCCAGTGTTTAGCATCACGAGAGGCTTAGGAACTGCGAGTTATGAGTTAAGAGGAAAGCTGTGTGTGGACAGAAGGAAGAGGAGAGAGGTTCTGAGCAAGGCTTAGGTCATGAAACGCTCATGTAGCACCTGATGAGTTGGACTTTTATTGACAATAGAAGTCATTGATGAACATCGATGTATTAGCTTATTACTTGTTTTAGGTGAACTTACCTGAATTTGGCAAAAGCATCATAGCTTTTGTACTAACTTATATGTAGAGGGGTCTAAATGGTCTATGCAAAAATTCTCTCAAGAAGTGAGTAATGGGCAGCTTTAAAAAGCAATATAAAATATAAAGCATCATGGTGATGTGGGCTGACCATAGTCTTTTGGAATCAAGTCAGTGCTCCAGGTATAGGGTTAGCTGCAAGGATGAGGCGATGAATGAGAGAAGAGACTGAAGGAAGGGACTCACTATCACTTATTGAGTACTTTTTTGTGCATTACTTTGTTTTAGTTCTAGGTGATTGCTACCCAGTGATTGGCTATAAGCAAAGGTATAGAGGCCCTGAAGTATTAAAACATACTTGGGCTCATTAAAAGTTATAAAGGCACCTATGGCCCATAATCCCAGCTGTTAGTGAAAAGAGTCATTGTTTAGATGATGAAAAGTATAGCTGGACAACTCAAAGCTTCCCTTATGGCAATGTGTGACAATTGCCTCTGTTTTTAAACCCCAAGAGCACATTACAAGTGGAAGCCATCACTATCTCTTCACTCATTTGGCAGGACACACAGGCCTGGAAGGCTGATAGCTTCCATGAAGCAAAATGGGGCAAATTCTTAAAATTTTAGTTCACACCAAAGGGTTTCTAAAGGTTTGACATTGTGAATTTTCTTACCACGTTGCTCACTTGCTCTGTGAGGTAAACCAAGTATACACCCCTAAAGGGCCATAGGTCAAATGTAGTGAGAACCTGTCTCCATAAATAGCTGTGATAACTCTCTTTTCTTATAGAATGCCTAGATTTTACTTCTGTTTATTTTTACTGTTCTCATAGAACATTCCAGACCTAATAGTTCTTTGACCGATATTGCAGGTTTTATATTTATTTCCATGTCTTACTTATATAGCGTCGTATGATCACAGGATATACAA